CTGCTGCTTCTCCGATGGCCGCTGCTGCTTCTTACAGCAACTACATCACGAATTTGAAGAAAATTTTCAAATACCTTTCTTCTTGTTTCATGCAAGTAAGGAATTATATTTTGATGGTGGTTTCGTACTCGATTTCDYCAACAACTTGATTAATTGAAGTACTTATTAGGGATTTTAATGAAGTATTATGATTTATTTCGAGAGTTTACATTGATTATGATTGCTGAATGTTGTTGTTGTTGTTGTTGTTGTTGATGAATTATTAGGGCTGTAGTGGTAGTAGGACCAGTGTTACCAGAATGCATTTCGTAGTGAAAAAACACTAAACAGCTCACTGGGGGTAAATTGGTCATTTTAACCAGTTCTATCCTGTCATGTCCTGTCTTACCAAACGCTGAACAGCTGTCCTGTCCTGTCCCGTCCCGTCCCGTCCCGTCCTGTCCAGTCATGTCTGCGCACCAAACGCACCCTTATTACCAACAGAATAGAACAAATATGAACCCCTGCGTTGAAATAATCCACTAGGGGAGGGGGTTAGATATGGGGAGGCATAGATGCATTCTAATATACATAATTATTTCATTCACTTCTTTATATGAAACATTATACATTCTTGAATTCAAAAAATGGTCAAAAACTTTCGTATCAACGAACCGACAATGCCTTCCCGAGTCCACCATCAAGACTGTTTTTCAGTTGCATCTTTCCGATAGTCGTACTTCCTTTTTGCATCATCGCTACAAACTCATTGTAATCGATACGCCCGTCCTGCAACCATGAGATAAAGTGTAAGATCATTTCTAAACTAACAAGATTCTTAGGAAACGTGGACAAGACTGGACATGTGAGAATGAGGTAGACAGGTTTAAAGAATTGTGGAAGGTTTTAAATTTTAATTTGACACGGTTCGTAATTTACCAATCTTGTCTCACATCATTAGGGTGTGTTTGGTACACTGGACAAGTCAGAATAGAACAAGAATCATTGTGGAACAAACAGGAACAAATTTTTCCAACCCCACCCTATGGAACAAGGTGGAACAAACCTATATTTTACCAATATAACATCAAAATAGAATATAATTCTCTTCTAAAACATCAAATACGCCTCCCTCTTTACATTTTATCCATTCTTTAAATTTTATTTATTGTATTTTATGCTCTTTAAACTTTCTCTTTATTGTCCTCAAAGTATTATTTTTATATGGTTTATATATTTTGATTAATTTATGTAATTTATTAAATACTAATAATAAAAAATAACTTAGAAAATGTATAAAATAAAAATTGGAAACTATATAAACTTTTTACCTTGTTGTCATTTTAATCGTCTTAACGAAAACTTACTAATGATATATTTTGTTATAAAAAATATTTATTTTACTACAATTTAATAAATTGCACAAAATAATCAAAACATATAAACAACTCATCAGGGGTAAGTGGGTCATTTTATATGTCTTATCTTGTCTAGTTTTGTCTTACCGATTGTTGAACAATGTTATGCATCCTGTCTAAATACTAAACGCACTCTTAGAGACATCATTTGGATTTAAGACATCTCAACAACCATTATGTATCAGGTACGATAAACTACTCGAGAAAGAGCAATGTTAAATGTGTATGTGAGAGCCGGATGCATATCGTGAAAACTTACATTGTTCTGATCAGCTTCTTTGATAATTTCTTCCATTTGTGCATCGTCTATTCCCAATTCCTTGCAGGATTGTTGGATTTCATTCACGGTTATATAACCACTGCCATCTTTGTCAAAATACGAAAAAGCAGCATATAGACTATCTTCCTTATCCACTTTGTTAAAATGCAAGGTTGCAGCTACAAATTCTTCATAGTCGATGGCACCATTATTGTTGATATCCGCCTATAGTTTCGTGGCAGAAAGATGCATTAACGAACGTGAGAACATATCCTATAACTATAAAGATTTTGGATGGAAGCTACCATGGAAATTTACCCATTTTCTGGGCTCTTGCGGGGAAATTTTCCTTTTTAGCTATCTATAAGCTTGTTTGTTAGTAGCTTTGTGAGCTTAATCGGACTCGCAGCTTATTTGGTCTGCTATAGAAGACTGTTTGATAGTGGCGTAATGATACAAAAAGTGGCTTATTCAGTAAGCTTCTAGATGGAGCTTTATGCAGATTGCCAAGTTTTTTTTCAAACCAGTCCATCCCAATTAAAAAACATGTTCATTCCATCTAAGAAAAAATCCCTCCCCAACAAAAAACTTTTTCGATTTATACGGACAGATTAATACTTGATGGAAAACCAACCAAACAGCCCCTAAGCAAGAACTACCTATTTGCCTATAGTAATCTCCACAAATTATTAATCCTAGTTGTTTTCTAACAACAATATTGCCTTATTTTGTTGAAGGGTCTTTTGGACAACCTGTTAGTGATTGAAAACCTTTCTTAAAATATCTGTCGAGTCGAAAGTTGCAATTTTCATGGGACGGAAGGAATGCTTCATATGCATTTTTGACGAAATGAAAGGGAATGAAGTTCTAAATGATGGTATCTAAGATGATACTTACAGCTTGCATAAGATCATGAATTTCGGATTCTTCAAGATTAGCACCAAAACTACTCAGTCCATCCTTGAGTTCTTCAAAAGTAATGTAGCCACTGTTGTCTGTATCTATCATCTTAAACATTTGTTTTAAGCCAGAAATCTCTTCTTCTGAAAGTTTTGTAGCAATAACCTGCAGCCAAAAAAGAAAATTTTGGGGTTGAAGCCAAATGATCAACTCTGATTCTGCGCTATATGGCTTATTTCGCAAGTCAAAGAAATTAGTTGGGATTCATCATTAAAAGGAACAAGTTTTTGGGAACTCAAACACCATGCCGGATTCAAATCTAGCTTACCCTAAGAGCCATTTTCTTAAGTTTGTTCATGGCAGAAAACCGAGTTAGTCGAGCAAAGATTGCAGAATCAAGAGGCTTATCTGGAGCAACACCATCAACGCTGATCCAAGGGTGGCCTACAGCAGTGAGGACAAGAACTGGAATGAGAAGCAAGAAAATAAGAGAAAACCTGATAAAAACTGTGAACGGATTAATTCTACTAATTACTACTTCTCTTTGGAAAATGTTATCTGTGAGCGAAATGGAGAAGAGAAACTCACAAAGAACTTCATGAGCAGTTATCCGCTTTTTTGGGTCTCTAACAAGCATTTTTCTAATAAGTTCTTTAGCACTTTCAGATATATTAGGCCATGGACTTATGCTGAAGTCAAGTTTACCATGCAAAACCTCTTCGAATATATCTTCCTCAGAATCTGTAGACGAAGAAAATAGAAAGGTGGATTATTCGCAATCAAACAGAGGGGAGATAATATTGCAAAGTTATAACATGTTCTATCTCACCTGCCCAAAATGGAGGGACCCCACAAAGAAGAATGTAAATGATCACACCAGAACTCCAGATATCGGCTTCTGGACCATAATTTTTAAGCAAAACTTCTGGTGCAACATAATAAGGGCTTCCCACCACATCTGTAAAAACTTGTCCTGCATTAGAGATAAGAAATTAGCCACGGAAATGCAAAAATTGATTGTACACAAGATGACAAGAAACAAATATTCATGGATAAAACAAGGGTGTTATACATCAGAGGAAGATAAAACATGTGCTAGAGGGACTAATATTGCACATGGATGCTATAATGTGAAAGCCCATTTAGAAAAGCTTTTCTTAAGATATAACAAAATTCAAACCAGATTATAGAACAGTCCTACTAATCAAGATTTGATAAAAATGAGCAAGATAAATTCATAGAAGCATTTATAGTTCGAGATAAATATATGATTTGAAAAGGTACCTGGCTTAAAAAAAATTGATAACCCAAAATCTATGGTTTTCAGAAGTGAATCTTCATCCTTATCTACAAATAGAAAATTCTCAGGTTTAAGGTCCCTATGCATCACACCAAGAGAATGGCATGCCTCAATCACACCAACAATAGTCCTAGCAAGATCAGCTGCTTTTCGTTCTGAATAATAACCTCTATCAATGATTCGATCAAACAGCTCACCTCCAGCGCACAATTCCATAACCATATAAACTGAAACAGCATCCTCATAAGCCCCTTTAATCAAAACTATATTAGGGTGTCCTGCCAGATGATGCATAATATCAATTTCCCTCCTAACTTCCTCCACTTCATCATCCGTCAGTAACTTCCTCTTTGCGATTGATTTGCAAGCATACTCTTTACCAGTTGCGTTCTCGATGCAAAGAAATGTTGTACCGAACTGACCATTGCCTAGTTTCTTACCCAACCTATAATAATCTTTCAAATTCCCAGTCCTGGTTTTCAACACCCCACCAGATTGAAGCCCTGCACTTAACACTCTCTTCATTTCTTGCGGCTTTTTAACAGACTCTGCGTGTTTGCTTTGTTGCTTCACTATTGAAACCTTTCTTGATGGCTTGGTCTCAAACTTGACTTCTTTTTTAGCCTCCTCCTTAACTTCATTTTGAGTCTCTTCTTTCGCTAYAATTACCGTTTGTGGTTGTGTATTTTGAATAGGTGGAGGGTCTTTAGGATGGTAGTCTGCTGGATCCGGTTGTTTGCCAGCTTCTCCATTCCCAGGATGGACCTTATTTGGTGATTGTGATTGAGGCCCGCAAAATGCATGATATATTGAATTGAAACCATTTAAGCAATTTCCCATCTAATCCAAATTATATCCTAGTTCCTACAGCCAAAAAGTAGAGAAATGCACACAGTCGGGTATTGACAGATAAAAGTCCTCATTTCAACCCACTTCCCCTTTTTACGAAAGGATGCAGTAATATGACATTTAAACAAACAGTTGGTGTGCAAACCCCAGAATCAAAGAAACAGAAACCCCCTATTCAAGCCAATCCCAAATACGAATTATGAACACCCTTTTCCTGTACAAACTCCTCCGAATCCACACGAAGATCACATAAACCAATAGATCAAAGAGAAATAAGCTTTACCCACAAAATCTTCCAAGACCCTGATTATTTCCACGAAGAACAAGGAGAAATCTCAAAAGCCCGAATCAAAAAGAAAATACTGATTATTGAAGGGAAATTGAGAGACGAAAATTGGGGGGTATGATCGGAAAATTGAAACGTCTATGGTTTTACCATGTCCTCCCTGTAGAAAACCTTAGAAAAGGGAATGTGGGTCATTGTTCGTTGAAATTGAGTTTGAACGTGACTCGTCTACTCTCCATGTTTGCAGGTTTATATACACTGCTACGGCGTAGACCGACTGAGAGGAATTGGAGCGGAGGGCGGCGGACGTTGGAGGAAATGGAAACTTGACGGGTTTTTCAGTTGCAACTTTCGAACCGTTTCTATGAAAATATTGTCACGTTGACATATACATTACTTTTTGTCCGAAAACTCGAGTTTCAATTCCCAAGGTCTGAATTTGATAATATTATAAATTCGAGCCTTTTTTATAAATACTTTATTATTTTTTGTTTTATAAACGGGTCGTATTTACATACAGATTAACGGAGCAAAGAAAATAGATAATATATAGGGTTGGGTCTCGGTGATAAAGATAGTTAAAGTAAGAAATATAAGAAAAAAATCTCATTCTTAGATTCACATTAATATGAGATGCACCAGATTAATTCCCATATCAAACGCGATTCATGTATGAGTTTGAGATTAAAAATAATCGAAGGTTTAGATGTTTTCTTATACTTTTCACTTTAACTCTCATTCTCAAACAATTATTCGTTATAATATATAATATTATCTGTTGTTTAATTTTTAATAGAAAATAAATTAACATTTAAAAGACCTAACTACCCCTGGAATAACAAAATTTACTAACATAGTTAGAAAGAGAGACCCAAAAACGTTTAACCACAATAACTTTTTCTATTATTTTAGGGATCATAATGCAATTTTGAGTAAACCATAGGGACCAATCATGCCATCCACTCTTTCTTAAATGATAATCCAAACACACACACTCTCTCTCTCTCTAACTTTCCTTTGCAGCGTTGTATCTATCTATATCTATATACCCACGCGGAAAACAACGGCATATTCATCTCCTCCTCTCTTAAATTCCTCCACCGTTCTTCTTGTTACACAAAACCCACATTCAATCCTTCTTCCATACATTCTGAACCCACCGCCTTAATCCTCTTTATTTCAACAATCCTCGCCCAAAATGGTAGTCAAGATGATGAAATGGCGTCCATGGCCGCCGCTTTTATCGCGAAAATTCCAGGTGAAATTGGCGGTGAAGAAGATGGAGGGTGCGAATTGCGATCCAGAGAAGGATGATCGTACGATTGTGGAAATCAAATGGAAGGGACCCAAGATCACTCTGGGTTCATTTAGAAGAACAGTGAAGAGGGATTACACGAGGGATGGGAAAGTTGTGGATTCAGACGGTGTCGTATGGTGGGATGAAGAATTCCATACGGTTTGTACCCTTTCTGGGTATAAAGAAAATGACTTTCTTCCTTGGGAGATTGGGTTTACAGTCTTGAATGTGAGTTCTTTAATTTATTTATTTTTAACATGTTTTAGGTTTAATCATCATCGTTTTGTATCTTCTGTTCATGTGATCGGATTCAATTTCAATCAGATTATTTTGAATTGGTTAAAATATGTGGAATTTCCCCTGTACCAGTTTTGGCAATTTTAACTTTCTTGGTGGGTATCATTCTGATGGTTTCTGTCATCTTTGCCATATACATACATACATGCATATATATATATATATATATA